AAACCCAGGCTTCTACATGGAACTTGGAAAGCAAAGGCCCTTCCAGGAGGAGATGGAGGGAGGATGCATTTGAACATTTCCAGCTTTAGCTAATGCTGTTTTGGAGGCATGGCTGGGTACTCACTGTCTGTAGGATGAGGGGTGTGACTGGCCTATCTACAGATAGGCAAAATCAGAGATGTGTGCGCCGCACGGAACAACAGCTACGTGTCAACAGCACTGTTAGAACTGGCTGAAACATCAGGAACTTTTAGGGAGTTGTTGGGAGTCTCGCTCCAAAACTTCCCTGGACTATGAGGTAAGGAGGCCTACCTTTCAAACTAAGGGTGTTCTCCAGTTTATCCTGTTTCACGAGAAAGGTGCAGTAAAGAGAATCCCTGAAGACATCTGATATCCATCCAGAAATCAGCTGTAATGCCTGCCATTTCAACAGCAGGATGAATAAGTCTGATGAAGTCTGGCCTGGATGTGTTAAAGACCTGAAACCTTCAGCCAACATGATGAAGTTTGCTGCATTGCTCCTGCAGTATTTCCCATCCATCCTCACTACAGGTCTTCAGGTACAGATGTATGAATAGACCAACATTTTTGAGGACAGGTATATACTTGGCTAAATAATCTCTGGCATGCAGGTGGTCAAGGTAAGCTGTCTCAGGACAAAGCCATCTTGGAGCAGCATTATTGAGAGGAAATGAAGGGATTTTAAGAATCTGCAATAGATGAGATGTTGTTACAGATGGGGCATATCTGATGGTGTTTAATCATAAGTTCAAATATCATTCCTGCAGGAAGTCTAGCATACTTCCTACAGAGTTAAGGCCTCTTCAACTTAAGGCCCCACTGCTGATGGAAGAATCAATGAAGCCATTCTCTCAGAAAAATATTTTCAAGGTACATACTGATAGAAAATACTTCAAGTTCATGTACAATTATAATTATTCAGGAAAACAATCCCATGGTAGAAGTGAAGAACAAAAAAGAGTGGCCTAAAGTCTGCATCTATATTAATAACTTTATCAGGGACAGGGAATGAATCTACAGTGGAAAACTGTTCCCTGCCACTATCTTGTCTTGTAGCAACTTGGGAATGCCCAGGGACAGTTTGGGATCTACAAAGAGGGAAAAATATCTCCAGTTTCAGTGTCTTGCATACCTCAGGATACTGACACCATGTACTCTATTTATAACCACAGCTGGATAGCTCATGTCAGCCACTTTGGATTGGTTTCTAATGGATCAGAAGAGAGACAGCTGTTAGCACCTGAAGACTGCCTAGCAGGGTGATGCTTACTATGAAAGAAAAAAAAAAAAAGGTGGTTTCCCCTGGAGTCAGTTCCCTTCAATGAAAAGAAAGAAAATTAGTAGCAAACTGCTGTTGGCATGATATGGACAGTCTCAGACATTGCAAAATGTCAGCAAAAAGGCAGCACTCACAAGGCTCTGCAGAGGCTGTAAGAGGAGAGGCAACAAGGATGCATTTCATACAGCTCAGAAAGGCATTTTATACAAAACTGGAGAGCTGGAGAAACAGCTGATAGTCTCCCAGATTTTTAGGCAGGCTGTTTTAAATGCAGTTCACAAAATTATTTAAGCAGTCCATCTGTGGAGGGACGCAACACCAAACAAAACTTTCAGAAATGTGAACAGCCAAATATGCACCAAGAAGCAGCAGAATGACTGGCCCGGATGTCCACAAGCTCCAGACCTGCCAGAGCAGGCATGTGTTGGTTCCTGTCCCTGTGGAGTTGAACACACCAATTGGTCGCTGCAGGTCTCAAACTCCAGGGGTAAATGACATATTTTCTTACTAGAGATCATCTCATCCAAATATGCATAGGCAGTGCTATGGCTCTGGGGACTGCAAAACAGGCCGTTAAATTCAGAAGTAAGGTGAGAACCTACAGAGAGAGTTTGTTAAGCCTCACTAAGTCTCTATGGAAAACTGTGTATCAATTTCTAAAAATAAAAGGTAGCTCAAGGACTCCCTGTGAGAGACTAGTTGGGGAGAATGAACCAGGCCTTTGAAAAAAGCGTAGACAGAACTAAACAGTGAGACAGATGGTTACCCCATCTTTTATTTACAAATCAGAAAGTCCTACACTGGTCAAATAAATTTCTGCCACTGAGTTTTTGCATGTGGGGTGGTCTTCTGGCTGCCAACTCTCATAAAGAGATGTGGAAGAAACAAACCCAGGCTCCTCATAGAAGTCCTAAACCTCTAGAAAACTCAACAGAAAATTTCTACTAAGTGCTTGCAAGAAAGGCAACCTAATAAAACAAGTAAACTCAGAAACATATTCACTGAGTGGAAGTAAAGTTCTATTTTTTCAAAACAGAGACTAGATTATTGGTCACTTGTAAGGGCTCTTTGCAGCAAGAAGGCAACTTGAACCTGGTGAGATAGGAAGATGAAGGTTTCCCATACCTTCGGCAAGAAAGCGGGCATTCTCCTGGGTCACAGTTTCTGAATCAGGCAAAATGTGATGAAGCACAGGCTTTGTTTTAAAAGTGAAGAGGAAGGCAGCAACCTGATTGAAAGAGCAGAGGCCCAACCGCAAATTAAGCTGCAGGAGTTAGGTCAGTGTTTTCTGAAATTCTGCAAGGCAAATCCAATTAGGACTGGATGGGTTAATGGGCTGCAGCAGGAACATGATACTGCAGAGCCCCAAAGGATCGTGGTGGATCCCAAAGCACAGGATACCTAAGGTACAGTAGGAAAGAAAGGGAATTTTGACACAAGGAGAATGTTAATGATCAAATATGCTGTCCTAGTACAAAGAAAAGCTTGTGTAGAAAACCAAGGAAAACTGATATGACAGACAGTTTGGGAAGCAGAATTCTAATTCAATGGTTGTTAAATAGCATGTGCACCAAAACTGTACCGGATGGGTAAAGGGTACAAGACATGTTAGTACACAGAATCTTACCAAAGGTTGGTTAGATAGTTTTCTCTAAAAGAGGGATCCAAATGTAAACAGCTTTTAGCACTTCTCCAGGGTTTACCAAACCTCAGGTGTGTCTTTTGGCCTATGTGGGCTGTAATTCCAGAGCCAGCAATTGAATGTAATCCAGACTGCTTTTTATATATAGTAAGGAACTAGTTGGAAGTGAAACTTACAGATTTAATATTTGTACACGGAAGGGGAAAATGTGAATTAGGACTGTCCTCTCACGAGAAAGCAGAAACTGGTAATTCAAAGTGTGCAAATACAGTAAGGAAAGTAAAGCAGTTTAATAGTTCTCCAAACTCATCATTTGAAGCTTCTGCACAAAGAACAAGTTGACAAAAATCAGTGTTAGGTACAGCTACAAACAGATTCATAAGTAAGACACACCTTGCACAGGAAAGGCAAAGAAAATAATTCAAACAATATCTGAATTCCTGGATTAGAAATTAATACTTTAGTCCAGCAGTTCTAGCTATGGAAAGGTTCCTTGAAGTAGAACTAGGGTTAATAAGATTTCTTGCTAGGCACTCAAGTTTCACTTGTGTTAAGGATACTAAAGAATTATAAAGTAGAAATTTGGTGCACCTGCTGTTTGGCTTTGGGAATGGGGGCTGGGAGACCATGAGGTTTTGCACAGTTTAAGGATATTTAAGTGAAATATAGATGATCTAAAGGCCCTAGACAATCCTTTCATGAGAAGAAACTTTCATCTCCACACATCATCAAGCACGCATACCACAGTAAGCTTGTGAACTGCAATATTAGTTTTCATGGAAATGTCTTTGAACCCAGCTGTCATGGCTGAGCTGCAAACCAGATCATATGGAAGATGAAGCACAGGAGAGAGACATGGTGAAGAAGGCAACAGCAACATCAGGCCAAGAGCAGCTGACAGAGGGATATCAGTACTGACAAAAGTGGGCAAAGTCACACTGAAATGTATGGCAAAATTTCACTCCAGATCACTGTGAGTCCCCTAGCAAATCCGCAATTATCCATCCTGTTCTCAGTTTTTAACACAGAAAAAAGAGTGGAGAAAAGGTTATGCTGAGCCAAAATTTTCTCTCTGGCTTCTCTCCAGACCTATTTGTCAACAGTTTGAATGGAAAATCCGAGGCATATATGTTTCATAACAAGTTCCCTGCACACAAGAGGGTTTATGTTCGTCATCACATTCCAGTTCCACTGCTACAGAAGACCCAGTATACACACAGCTATGGAACTGGGAAAGATTTATTTTCTAGTTCTCCCATGTATAAATAATGCCATTTCCCAGACATAAAATGAAAAGCAGCACTATCTGAGAAATATTCAAGTTACACATGCTAGTTGAGACACGGATTTGACCCTAATAATTTTGTGATTTTGAACGTATGAGTAATATATTCATTTGTTCAAATAAAGTCATTGGCAGAGGTAATCTGACTCTGCACATTGTCCCCCGAAGAGTTTGTAAAAATACCTGGCATTCAGAGCCAACTGGCTCTGAATACATGAATTCAACATACCTGAATTTAACAAAAGGACAAAGAAAAAAAACAAAAAAGAAAAAAAAGCACTTGCTCTCTGAAATCACCTTGAAACCATCTTCATGAGTAAGAAATAATTCCTCAACACTGGGGTGAATTTCCAGAAAGTAAACAGAAATCAAACTGCATCCAGGCAGAACTTACAAAAGAACAGGAGATTATCTGGTCAGGATGCTAGCCCATCACACAGTGTGAGCGCTGGAAAGATGTCATATTTGTCATACTGGAAAGCACTAAAAATACAGACCCAGATCACCCTCTGCAAGCAAAGCATTGAGAGGTGCCTCTGGATGAGGCCTGGAAGGTTCCCTGTTAGAAGCTCATTGCAGTCCTCCACAGATACAGATGAAAGGGCAGGACTGCCCTTCTGCGGAGTCATATCAGGCCTCGTATGCCTCCACAGTGTTCTCTGCTTCAGCTGTGCTCATACAACCAGAGCACACATGTTCACATTATGTAGAAGGCTTCTATATAAACATACTTGAGTGAGAAAATAAACCTTTCCAGGTGAAGAAGGACGTACCTGCACTCGTAGATCCAATTCCTGCGGTAAGCACAGAGCGTGGCATGATCTTTACTGCATACTTGAGGAACTGAGATTTCCCTGTACCTGGATCTCCAACCAACAAAAGATGTGATTCACCTGGGGGGGAGAACATTGAGGTAGGAGCAGACAGTACAGATAAACACACACATATACACAAAATGCTCAGATTAAATAATACTTGCCATTATTCACCTAACATTTAGCACTACATATCCATTACAATATGTGATTCTGTTTAAGACTGCACTATTTACTGGATGTGATAAATTCATTGTTTAATAAAAGCATCTAGTCATATTGCTTCACTCAGCAATATGACTGGACACAAATATTTACAATGAAAATTTTTCAAAGTATTAGCAGGTATTTGACAACACTTCCTGTAATGAGAGTTCTTACATTTTAGAATACTCGTTTCTCAGATTCACCTCACTCTTGAACTTGAAACAAAAGGATACCAGGTTTTAGTTATCATTCCACTACTTGGTTACTTAAATTTTGGCAAAATGGACTAATAAAATCAGCACGTTGTTTTTCTTGACTAATTCTTTGCCAACAGTTCCACAGCTTCATAATTTCAAAACAATAATTTGGCTACTACAATCTCACTGAAGTGCTCTAAAATTATTTCACTGTCTACAAAATATCATATCAGTACAACTGCAATTCAAACATAAAGTCTATAGCTTTATTTAGCTGCTGGAGCATTAAGAAAGTCCTGCATGTGTATACAGAGACATACTATTTTGGAATTATTATGACCTACATAGATTATGACCTGCATACCACCTGGCACATGGCAGATTTGCCATCTAATAACAACAGAAGGAGAATCAGCAGGCAGATAACTTGGGAGTTACAGAACTAAGTGAGATGTGCTGACAATCACAGATGGAAAAGTCTGGCATTAGGAAGCAAAATGAATCCTTTAATTTTGCCTTTCAATGAACTATAGTGATCCACATTAAGGGAACATTAAAATTCCATCCTTTGATGCCAAATACTGCTGGGAATAGTCTACTAGAAATCATTTCAAAATGTCACTTATACAATAAAAAGTGAGTTTATGTTTTAGATAAAGCAGCTGCCTTTAATATTCTACTTAATGGAAACCTGAAAGTCTGCTTCTACTGGGTTTTATTGGGGAAAAATTATAATAAAAAGAGGAAGTACAGACACCCACTTTATTTGTCTGAGATTCTAAAATAATACTCAGGATTGATCAAAAATTGTTCTCACTCAAGAAAATGGGATGATTATGCTTCCAAGACCTTACTGATTTGATTTTGTAGGGGGGAGGGATGTGGGTGAAGACAGATATGGGAATGAGTGTTAGAAAGGATCTGATACTGTTAGAAAGAATACTTACCTCTGATTCGAGTTCCAGTAGCATCCGTCCTCTGTACACCACCAGCAAGCACCATGGCTACAGCCAGCTTCACCAGGTACAAGCCAAAAACTTGAGGACATAAGCTAGCCAAAATTTCATTCCTCCCTAAAACAGCAAAAAAAATGGCACTCAGCACTGCCCCTAGAGTAAAACTTGGTTTCCCACAGACTCCTGTGTGCACTGACAAATAATCTGGGCCTCCTTCTTGAACAAAAGGAACAGAGTAGGGAGGAAATTTTTTTAAAAATTATTTTATTTTTAAAATGGGACCCAAAGCAGTTCTTTGATCTGAACGGTCACAAGCAGCAAAGCCAATCCTATTGCAATTTAAGGAATGTATGGTCTGGATAGCAGGAGAAAAGGAAAGAAATACCATCGTGAAAATTCTTTTGTTTCATAGCTAAAAGTGTAGGGGCTATGAAGAATAAAACCTAAAAATGTCCAGACTTCGAAATATCCCCTTGAAAGCTGGTGTGTTGTACATTTAAGAAAACAAAGAAAACTTCTAACACTTGAATTATTTTGTCCTAAACCTGTGCACACGTAGCATGGCTCATTTTCTTGTTGTTACCTTCAATCTCCTTCTCCTCTGATCCTTCTGTGTCACAGATCCCTTTCCTCCTCCCTACCACAGTCTCTTTCCAGAAGCAGAGTATTTCCATCTGCTATGAGAACGCTGATGGCTTGGAAGATGTGTAATAGAATTAATTCTGTCTAATATTCTGACACTAGCAGCACATAAGGGGTCACAGGTTTAATGCCATGTATTACTCCCATTGCTAGGGAATAAAAGGGAGTGACCAGTTTTGAGATCTTAACTTAATGTTTTAAATTTAGATGCAATTACATGGTACTGGCAAAATATGAAAGCTCCTAATAGATGACTTGAGGCATATGTGTGTCTTTTTGAGGTTTTCTGAAGGAATTAACACATCTTTGTCCATCCGAAAGTGAAATTTTAAAAACTTTGGTCAGCCATGGCACAATTCAAGATTTAATTCCACAGTTAGGAGTTAGCATCATGAAGTGACTGATATAAAATGCAGTAGTAGCTGTCATTATCTCTTGAAAAACAGCAAATGTACACACACTCTGTTGTGCAATGGCCTATACCTTAGACTCCTCAGTCAAATCTGATCTCTGTCCTCAATTTCAATTCAAATTCAGACTAACAGCCTGAAACAGACATCTTGGGCAGTCAGGGTCCTTCTCATTTCCACCTCAATTTTCTTGTACTCACTTCATATTTATTTATTCAGAATGAGTAATATTGCACAAAATCACGTTGCTCCCTGCATGCTTCCAAAAATTGTCCTGATTAAGATTAAATGGAACCTTCAAAGAAGATCCTGAATTACTTTCTGAACAGTTCTGACCAGAGTGATAATAATCTTTTTCCAAAGAGCAGAAGGATGAAATGTTATCATTCCAAACAGCAGGAAGCTAGCAATTAAATTGCTTTCGAGGAAATGCAGTTCTGAAGAATCTTTAACATTGACAGGATCTAGAGTTTCTTAGGGGGGCTAATTTGGGGGATATTCCCACCTCTTTTTTCCTCCTGTTTGTCTTTTAAGAAGAAAAACTAAGCCCTTTTCAGGGTTTTATATGATAGAGTGTCAGCCTAAAAAAGTTCAGTGACGGAGACCCTAAAGAGTCCCTTCAGCTTCCACAGAGCTGAGGAGAAGACACTCAGATTGTGGAGAAGGACACAGTTTCAGACACAACTCCCAACTATTCCAAGGTGGTTGACTACAGACTACACTAAGCTTAGGACCCAGCACTGACTGTTCTGGAAGCCACTGTAAACTGGGAGGTTCCACTGCACCTACGTCAAGGGTCTAGGCATCCAAGGGTTAGCTTAACAATAAGAGGTGCTAAGCTCTGTGGTAAAGGTTCATGGCTTACTTTGGGACATAGAGGCCACGAGTCAGATCTCTCGTCCCACAGGCAACAGCTATGCTGACTAAAGGCAGACCTGGTCCACACCATTTCTTCTAAGAAATATGCTTCGTCTTTTTTGATTATAAAACACTTCTCTTTTTCCCCCCCAGTAATTATATTATTTTTTATTTCCTGTTAATAAATGTTCCACAAAATACTTGACTAGAAAGCTCAAAAGAAGGAAGATCAATGCAGCAGTTCTAGTACTTCCTCCCCCTCAGTAAAAATTTCATATTCTTGTACTGGAAAAAATATATTCCTGGATTAATGGGTGGTGGGATAGGATAATGGGGGAAAATGTGTTCAGTCATTGTATTTTCACTCCTGATTTAATCTCTATCTGATCAAGTGCCCTACGTAAAAGCTTTCCACTACTAACCTGCTAAGGGATCATTCCTATGCCTTTCCCAGAAGTCTTCAAATTCCTTGCGAACTTCTTCATCAATGACAACCCCTGCTAGCTGCTCATTGTTCACTTTAACATAGTTGGCTTTCAAAACAATCTCCAAGTCACAGCGTGAACCCTCATGGAAAGGTTTCCACCTCTGCATTACCACTCCATACACTGTGATATCATCTCCTGGAGGTAAAACCAAAAGTTAGCAAAATAGCATCTGACCTGAAACATGAAGACATTTCAGTTAGCTGTAACGCATAATAATGCAATGCAGTTACAGGAAGTCTAAAACAAAGATAAGGTAGAGTGCTTACATCTGTGGTAGGAAGTTGCTGTGTCTTTCTACTTCTGTTTAAGGGAGGTGAATTCTTACAGATATACCTCTGTTTGTTTCCTCTTTTAGAAGAGAGGAATTCATAGTAAACTGTAGAAGCTCTTTCAGTGAGATTGGCTGTACAGAAAACTCAGTCAAAACTTATTTGACTTCTGGTAACTTTTATGAACTCCAGAATCACTCATTAACGTTCTGGGTACAGTCTTCTTCTGAGAAAGTATGACCAGAAATTAACTTCTTGTGGAGAAGTGCCTATCTGAGAATTTTTAGTCCATTCTTCATTCATCCTCCTGCCAATTAGCTTCTTCTTTGAATGCCCAGTAGCTTTTTCCACCTGCAGCACTCCTTAGATAGGAAGCCGGGCTACCCAGCTCTTTGAATCTAGGAAGGGGCAACACATGCTGTGTGATGGTGTGAACCAACTCCCTCGAGAGGTTTGGTGTTCCACACTAACAAGATTTAATCTAATTTCTGTATGTCACAACACATGACTTATTGAAAACTGATCTGTCCAACAGTCAAGATGTAATATGGGGGTTCATGACGTTCTCTAGAATGGTCTTCAGCTGCCATTGCTAATGTCCATCCTGAAGCAGCAACATGAGAGATGAACACACCTCATCTGACAAGCCCTCTGCACTGACACAGCCTACCTGACAAAGATTCATCCCAAAAGAAAAACTAAATATGTGATATATGCTGTATCCTCACCAGACTTGCAGCTGTCCACCAAGTCGTCTTCCAGAACAACCACCATGCAACGAGGGATGCTTCCAACAGACAGCCTTTGAACCTGGCACATGGGAAGGAAAAGCACTTCTTAAGGAACAGCACCTTTCAAAAGCCTTTCATTTATAGCTGCTCTGGCTTAAGGACCTACACTCCTTTCTTTCCCGGAACTGAGGTCAGTTCTTGTTTTTTATCACAAAACTTACCGTAAGGGATGCCACTGCTGCCATGAACTTAATAACGGAAGTTTAATGCTGATATTAATGGAAATGGGATTGGGTATTAAATTAACAGAAGGTGTTCAGTGCTGGAAGATGTTGTGTGATTTCAATATCTTGCTGGAGAAAGCTCACTGAAAGAGGTCATTTGAAAGAGCTGATCTTTATTATAATTTGAGCTATTATTAGATACTTCTGCAATATGCAAAGTTGACTTTGGGTACTGAAGCATGTCAATGTGTTAGATAATCCTTCACTGAAGTACATACTGAGAGAATATTCTCTGTGTTTTTCTGGTAACCATAATTTGAGAGTTTGAGATTAAGTATACACCTAGGTGTCAAGGATTAAATCAACAACTGGAAAAACCAAATATATATATTGACAAATATGCCAGTAAATCCTGTAATTCTTTTGCTTTTCTCCAGGGCAAAGTCTATGCAATCTGGTCACAGTCTATTTCCAGCCAGCAACCTTTCCATTTACACTTAAAGCTTGCAATAGTTTTTAGAGTATCCACTGCACAAGTACAACAGTCAGAAGTTTTTTTTCATTCTGCAGCACAGGTCATACATGCTAGAATTCTAGACTTATTCTCTCTCTGATGCCTAGGAAGGTCAATCCACTCTTGTGCATTATCTACGTGGCCACAGGCAGTTCACATCACTGTCAGTACTGCATGGTAAGACATGCACAGTTACTTGCAAAGCTCAGTAGGAAACACAAGTGAAATTCATTCCTGGTTTAACTTTGCTGTGTTTAATAAGCCCATGTGGCTGAAAATTCCTCCTATCATACAGATCTGTGTGTCACACAATAAAACAAAAAGTTATAAAAATGTCCCACGTGTCAGGAACAATCATTATATGAACATGCAACATAGGGCTTATTTCCCAGAGAGTTTTATTCCCTTACTTTTTTTGCTATTCTGAACTTTCAAGAGCTTCATTTCTAATTTCATACATCTTGCATGTAGATTGGCACCACTGTCCTCTCCATTTATAAAATCAAAACCCTGAAACATAACTGGAGATATCTTAGAAAAGATCTATCAAATAAAGACCCTGAACATATAAATAAACACAGAAACATTATATACAATACACTCTGCTTATTCTCAATTTTCACACAGTGTAGATTTTCCTGTGCCAGTTTTGTCTTGGTTATGTGCTACCATAAAAAGAGGTCCAATTGTTTCTCAGTCCTCCAGCTCGGCTGTACTTCCACCCAAGGCTACCATCAGAAAACAAATGCAAACTCTATAAGGATCACATATGCAGTAATTGTTGAATTCAGTATTGGCTGAAGGGAAGAGACATTTGCAGACACCATGTGTTGACTGTACTGCACAGCTACAGCTGGCCTTGGCCACCACTGGGTTACCTTTAGTCCTCAGAAGCAGTGTTGAACATCAGCATCATGTCCCGTAAGTGCTTAGAGAAACAATGCACACTTGATGTAAGGATTCAACATGGAATGGAATTCCATCTACAGAAGTTTCCTTCTCTGCACTGACCCCAGGTGTTTTGTACAACATCAAATGGAGTTACCCAATAACAGAAGTCTAATCAACATGTGGCTTCATCGTTAACTGTTTGAGAAATCTCTGACCGACAGGCTGCCTGGCTTCTTTTAGTCTTCTCAGGCATTTGTGTTAAACAACAGTAGAACCTGTAAAACTTTTCCACTGATCTTAGCTTGTAAAACTTAACAATGAAAATGGGATAATCTTAACACTAATGTAAGGATGAATAGTCCTACTAAGATTAGCAGAGATACCTTATTTCAACAGGAAATTAGGCCCCCAAATATCTTCTTTTGTAAGTTAGTTTTTTTATACTTGAGACATCCATACTTTAATACCTTTCCCTTTTTCTCCATCTTTTTTTTTTTTTTTCCTTACCTGTTCCTGAATTTTGATTTCTTGGTAGTCTCTGCAGCAGGTAGGAGAAGAGGCTGTTCCAGAGAGACAAGTGAACTTGATTGAGTTGCAGCCTTCTTCATTACAACAGGCCGATGGACGGCAGAATGCATAGTACTGCTCAAAGTCAGCCTTGACAGCAAACACGTGCTTGCACTTGTTGCAGATGTAACTCCGTTCAAACTCCAAAACTTTCACCGAGCTGGTACGTATGACAGTCCCAGTAACAGACAAAAAGTGACCCACATCCTTGGTTTTAGGAATGTGCTCTCGAGTCAGCTCTGGGCAAACAGGCAAACCTGTTAAACAGAAATACGTGCAGCATAAGGCTGTGCATATGAAACATGGACTTACAGTGCAGTTGAACAGAAAGACTAGGAAACATGCCAGACATATGAACAGGGGCCATTGTTATTACTGTTTCATAAATGTGACTCAACAGTTCATCTGTTGTACCATAAATCTCATTCACTGGCCCCAGATAGTGAAAATCATCAGACACTGAGCACCAACTCAAAATGTTGCCATTTTACTCTCCCTCTCTTGCCAAGGGCTGAATAGTCATGAACAGTTTCCATTCGCGGAAAAAGATCATCATGTTTTCAGATCTATTTATTAATTTAAATGTTTTTTTTTGCAGATGCCATTTATTCTACAACTGGTCTGTCTGACTTACAAAATTTTGGTTATGCTACTTAACTGTAGTTCAACGTTACTGCACAGTTAAACAGCTGTAGCTCCTAGTCTCGTGTGAATTCCCAAGTCAAAGCAAATTTAAAACTCGCAGTTGGTGAGCATTTGACCTTAAATCCACATTGCATACCAGTAAAGCTCAAGCACAAGGAAGACAGCATAAAAAAAATGTAAAGGGGTTTTGAACACAACCAAAGCAAATTCACTTGTAAGTTCAAATGAATAGTGACAGAACACTGTCCACTTGCCCTCCTCCTTTAATTCCACCCCAACAGCCAGTTCAGTGGTGTCCTGATCCTGCTCCCATATTCCCCCATGCAGCCACCACTTGGCACCACAGCGGCTGAAATCCTCAGGAAGATGAATCTACCTCAACTTTACATGTCTCTGAAATGATCACCCGAGCACAATATTGCCTCTTCAGAAAGTATCAACGAACCACAAGATACTAACAATTATCAACTTGAAAAGATATTACCTACTCCTAAAATAATTTTTTAGCTTTACTTCCAAAACAGAGCCAGAAAACAGAGATGTAAAACTTCAAATCTGCTGGGAAATGATGTTTCTAAGGGGACCAAAACTATTTGTGCATCTAGGTCAAATCTTCTTTGAGTTTGACTGCTAAAAAAAGAATATCATATATTTATTTCAGTGTTTTCAAAAACAAATGCTTTATTTGAGACAGGCTGAAACAAAACAGAAAAAAAATTCTGTTTTGATGCTTTTAAGCAACATGTTTGACCTTCTGCTTTTGTTTAAAGAAAATATTTTTAACTATTAAACTAATTTTAAAAGGTAAAAGAATAAAGTCCAAAAACATAAAAAGGAATTAAATAATCTGGAAAAGAAGGAAAGTATTTTGTAAAACTGCAAACAGCCTTTTTCTGGTTGACTCTAGAAAAGCTATGTACATGTTTTACCAAACCTGTTGAATTTTTTTCCTCCCACAGGTTTGCATTTCTAATCAGTTCAGGGAAAAAAAAAAATCCATTATTTCTCCAACTGTTTTGGCATCTTTTTCCCAGCTCAGTATTGGTGCCCTTCAACAAGCTTTGCTAAAAACAACACAGCTTACACTACAGAGAACTGCAGCACTGTTGTCAGGATATATGATGATCATCTCTGAATTTTGAAGAGACAAGAGTCTAGATGTGAAAAGAGAGCCTTTGTTCTGATCATATCAGACTGCTTGACAAACTCTTTAATTGAGTATATGTGCCTCTTTGAATCAACCTTACTGTATCAGTCACAAAAACACTGAACTGCTAGAAGCAGGTTGGCCTTCAGTAAGAGACACGGCAGTGCTCAGGCTAATGGTAAGGAAAAATCATTTCATGGATTTGTAGCAAAATGCAGAAGTTACACAAATTCCTACAATGCTAAAATTCAGGTAAAGAACTTCATCTTTTACTTTCTTCAGTGAACCCAAGGTAATCACCCGTTACTAACTGCTGCATATTCCCTCCCTGAATCCCTCTTTGAACTTCTAGATGTATTGGCAGCAGTGTGTCGAGATTGCATTCTTATACCCGGCATAAGCAAAACCACTTTTCCTCACTTCATTCCATGCCTGACATGAAGATCCCCCCAGCTGCACTCCAGGTAGTTGTCTGCTGCTGTCACCAAAAACAGGGCCCCACCTTCTCATTCCCTTCTCATCTGCTGTAGGAATGGGAAGTGGCTCTCCAAGAGGAGAATCCTGAAGGTAATCAGAACCCAGAATCCACTTAAAAGGTAACAGTATCATTGGAAAAACTGTGTGGACAAAAGGCTACAGATCACTTAGCTTATTTCTTCTGTTTCTTCCGAAGCCAGCCTTTTGGTGGTACAGAACATTAACTAAACTACGTGGACAGATGTTATTTTGATCCAGCTGGACCACACAAGGATAACCCCCGTTCATCAATTTCCCTCCAGCTTAGTGAGGGAGTTATTTGTAGCCTTCTGAATAACTTCTTCCGTCAGTCAGGCTTGCTTTTATCAGTTATTAAAACTATATGATCAAACGTTGCTAATTTTGCCTGAGGTTTGTAAGGGAATATTCAGACAAAACATCACTGTGGGAGGAATGATCAGCTCCAGCAACAGGCTGATAACAGGAGCAGGAATGTCTTAAAGACACCGCTACTCGTGCAGTGATCATCTGCCCCTTGCTGTACTCCTGATACTTCCTCGTAGCTTTTAAAATAATCGTACTTGGAGTCTCTTTTTCATGCTGAAGCCCTGAATGATGCAAATGCATTCTAGAACACTAGGAGGAAAGTTTTAATTCATTCCAGCTTTCATAGGTACAGGGAGATGCCCAGTGACAGATTTCAGCACAGCACTTTTACACCAAGTACTCGGCAGTTGTGTACAAGCTCCTTAACGCCTGAATAGGTAGCAAGCCTTGTTTTTTTTTTTTTAAACTTCGTTTCCCTCTAAAAATCTTGAAAAAATATCATTGTGAGAGCCACAGGTTAACTGTATTTCTGATGTATGTGTTTTCATTACAACATCTTTATTGAAATCTACTGGAACGAAACACGGGCCTATTTAACAATTGCGATTTATCCAAGATCAAGATGCCAAAAAAACTGAATGATCACAACCCACTCCACAACAGGGCAGGGGAGGGAAACACAGGCTGCCACCTCTTGGCTTTGTAGACTATTGCTCTAAATAGGTATGACCAGAAACGATCAGAAGGGATGGTGCCACCACTGACCCAGTCTGCCACAACAGGCAAAACAGACATTTCAACTCCTGAATCTGCACCCCACACTTACCAGCCCTCAAAGCTACTCGAAATTTCTTATTAATAAGGAATAATGGCACATCAACTTGCAGTGGAAAAAATGACAAAGCCCCCTTGTCAATGATCATGCCTTTCAACAGTTCATTCCGATTTTATAGCAAGCAATTTTATTACAGCTAAGCATAAAATTCGACAATTTCAAATGAAATTGTTACAAGGCAACTCAAAATTTTGACTTTGCCTCTTCTGGGAGGTGGCTGGAGACAAAAAAGATGATGACCCAACTGGCACAGTAGGGAAGTCAACCTGCAATTAAACTTACAAACTATGTATCTTCCCCTAAAACTTTTCTTTAGACCTTCTGTCTAGAAGAGAAATAATGTAAGACCAGCGGCTGACGGTGAGTCTTTGCCACAGAAGGACTTCAGTGTAAGCCCTGACCCAACAAATGCCAACCACTGCACGCAGAACAGTGGCAATGGCCACAGCAACTTTTTTGGGGTTGGTCTACACACCTCCACGTATTTGCACGTGTTCTTCCCTTCTTAACAGACACTAAGGATTCGCTACTTCTTCAAACACTGAAACAGCAACCATTAACTTGCTCACTCCCATGGCACCTCAAAAGTTTGTTACAGAGTACGGAAAGTTGACTGGGAGAGGCGGCTCACTGCAGCCCCTGCCCCGCCACTCACCCGAGACCCTGGCGTGGAGGTTCTGCTTCAGGCTGAGCTGTGCAGTGTCCGCGGTGTCCTGCAGCGCCGCCAGGGCAGCCCGGCGCAGCGCGCTGTCGAAAATCGGGAGCACCTCGCTGGGGAAGGCGTTGAAATACTCGCCGATCTCCATGTTGGTCTCGAAGAGCGTCAAGGCATCGACGACGACGGGGTAGTGCGCCTGGTCGTCCGCCTCCCTCAGGATGCCCAGGATGTCGTCCCTGTGGTGCTCCAGCACGTAGGACTCGAACACCTGCCCGATGAGGGCCACCTGGTCCGCGCTCAGCACCATGCTGCGCCTACACGGGGGGCGAGGTGCGGGAGGAGGTTACACAGCGAGGCTTCCCGGTGCGGGCACGCGTCGAGCGGGAAACTTTATCTTTCCCTCCGGAAAACCCATCACGGAGCCCGGCGAGGGCGGGGCGCGGCTCAGGAGCTCCGGCAGCGGCACCTCGTTACAGCGGCACCTCCGACCCGCCGCTGCCAGGCTCCGGGGCCGGGACGGAGCCGCCCGCAGCCCCTCACTGCCGGCTCCCGCCAACCCACCAACCCGCCCCGCCTCCTCAGTGGGTCACGCCTGCCCGCCGGGGAGCGGGCGGGAGCGGGCGGAGCGGGCGGGGAGCGGGCGGGAGCGGGCGGGGAGCGGGCGGGGAGCGGGCGGGGAGCGGGCGGGGAGCGGGCGGGGAGCGGGCGGGGCGCTCCTCGCGTTAATACCACAAAGCGAAATCGCGCGGGCGCCCGCTCCGTCGCTCCATGGGCGGTAAGAGGAGGAGGAAGCAGCAGCGGCGAGTCCGCCCCGCCCCGCCCCGTCCTGCCCCGCCCCAGGCGGCGGCAAGCGCGGGGTCCTCGGCAGCGCGCACCCGGCCGCCGCCAGCACGGCAGGTTTAGAGCGGCGGCGAGGCGGGGGTGTGCCGGGCCGGGCCGGCAGCGCGGTGCCTCCCGCCCGCCCACGGAACGCTGCCCCAAGCGCGTCCCGGGCCGCCCCGCTGCCGAGCAGCGCGGGATGCGGGTGCACCCCGAGCGTCACCGCCGTGCCCGCGGCCGCCCCGCTCCCGCTCGGTACCTGCAGCGGGCGCCGCCGCCCCTCCGGCCGGGTTCCCGCCACCGCAGCTCCCTCACCGGCGGGAGGAGCGGTGCCGTCCCCGCCCCCTCCGCGCCGCTCCGCGGGCGGGCCCGGGGGCGCTTCCCTCGGGTGCCTCAGCGGCCGGGGCCCTCCCGGGAGCAGGTGAAGGGCGGCGGGCCCCGGCTCCACGCCAGTCAGCGCTCCGTGGGCTCGGGGCACACTGCAGCTGCTGGGCCTCTCGGGAACAACAGATCCACCTACGGGTTCTCCTTCCAGTAGAGCCGCACTTTGTTGTTTGCCTAAACGTCTCTGTTCCCTCGCTGCAAAGAGGCGCTGCTCGTGTGTTTTGCAGGCACAACGAAGTCTAAGTTTGGCTTCTATAAAGCGAACTGCACAACAAACCAGGCATTTCTCCCTTCCTCGAAGTCTGAGGAGTTTAGGGATTATATTTTTAATATAACCAGAAAACAGAGTTTGCTGGAGGCTATAAAGCTTTCGCTTTTGCCCAGAGTTAACAGTATGTTTTGAAAATTTCGTACCTGCACGTTCTTCCCTCCTGCCCCTCCCTGCCCCCTTCCTCCCCTGTGTATAGTAACACGGTGACGTGCTTTAACTATTTGAAATATTTTGTCTATTAACTGATTCTATTTCAAAACTGTGTTCCAGACATAAGGAGTGAAACTGGTTCCCAGTTTCTCCAGCAGTATGCCTATTTCCTACAGTGACTTTGCAGCACATGTGCACACTTCTAGCAAGTGCTTGCATGTTTGAGTTCTGTCCTCATTGGGTTCAGTGTAAGTAGACTGTCTTCTGAATTACTGCACGTATTTTCTTTGTACCTCTGACAATGTATTTGGGGATCATTCTTGTACATCCATTCAAGTCTTGCAACATCACAGGGTATAACTTAATCTCTCTGTAACTTCAAAGTGTTGAAGAATCCTAAAACTTCTCCATCGAGTTCCTCAGTCCCAGGACCTCCCATTGTTGGCCTGTATTAATAGTGAATTATTGATAGGCAATCAAAACCAAAAATCATTGCTCAGGTAGAACACTTCTGGGTTTAAGATTTTAAAATATCACCAACATATGCTCTCTAATGAATGTAAGCAATTTGTATTTTAATACAAATTTTTAGGGTTGGTGGAGAGGAAAATCAACACTTTTCAACCAACCAACCAACCACATCAACTTTTGGTTTGAAGAGACTGATTTGGCAGTGGTACAGCTGCTGACTGTGGCAGACACGGTAACTGAGTCCTTCTTAACTTTCTTCTCCCTTCCCAAAGACAGGTGCCTACTATTAAAAAAATGATGGGCACACCTTTTACTGAATAGGTAAATGTAGATATTATCATCTTTGTGTTAGTGTTTCAGTTATTCATTCCATATGTAAAAATACACAAATGAAGTGGAGGATAGGAGAAAAAGGCTGATCCCTTGCAAAGCATGCAAGAAAAAATACACAACACTCACTTCAGAACATTATAACAAAATGATCTAGTGAATTTTATTTTGGGTAACAGCCAAGAAATCTGACATTTTGCCCAATATGGCTTTCTTCTAAAAATAAAAAGTTGCATATACCTACAGTTGAGTCCACCAGCTACCGAAAATCTGCTGTATACATCTTTAATCCATGGCAGCATCACCAGAATACAGCTTTCAGTGGTGTTTTCAAGCTGAATTATAAGATAGAAGTTTTTAAATGTGCATTTAGAAGATCTGTATATTGTTTATATGAAAACATACAAATTTTTCATTTATACATATACTACATATAAAACTCATTTTAATTAGCAAGTATCTTCATCTGGGTATTTATCTTTGTGCATATAGCAAAAAAAGGATGTAGTTAGGGCTTCAGATGAAATATTAAAGTTCAAGACCTTTGTATATGCGAACTAGAGCCTTATTCAAATAAATCAAACATTTTTTTTCTTGCTTTTAAAAGATAAGAGATTCAGCTTAAAAATACATTCATAAAACAAAGACAATGTTCTCCCTGAGACTACCAGTGTGAGTTACTTTGTGGTAATCTTTGAATGAAAAAATATAAAAAAGACAATAAGCTCTGGTTCTCTATATGCTACAACAAATTTCTCGAGCAACACTGACATCATAAAAGGTACAGATTGGGGAATCATGCTCACTAGCTGAAAAAGCATCTTCATATATCAGTTTAAGAAGAAGAAAAGAAATTAATATAGACAAGGGAAGGTAACTAATTTTTAAGGAAACATCTGTATCTGTAGTATGAATAAATGGCAAAAAGTTGGGTGGTTGCTTTTGTTTGTTTGTTTGGGGCTTTCCTTTTTTTATTTCAGACGTGAATTTTATCCAAAGCAGGACTTTATGCTCAAAATGTAGACTCTTGATTTATGCAGAGATACTTAGCAGAATTTTCTAAATATATCAAGTATTTGTTTTTGTTAATATTCACAAAAGAAATATAGAACCTGTGGAACAGTTTCTGTTTAAATTCAGTGATAAAATGTTTGATTATAATGAGATGGCAAAGCCTCATGAGCAATAAGTGAGGAGTCATCCCCCAACCCCAGTGAACAGCTCCTGGTTTGTGGCTTTTTTCATCCTCTATCAGAATGACTCTGCTTTGAAGGCCAGAAGCTATGCTAGTTTTATTTAGCATTCTTCCTTTTAAGTGTTAGAGACAGTTTTTAAACTGCTACAAAGTAAGGGAACTGGGATGCATTAAACACATCCTGCTCAAATTGGAGAGAGTGCAAGATATATACCTTTTCCTTTGACAATTTAAGATGTATTTATATTAACCATGCAATTACGTTATTGAAGGGGAAAAGCCTTACCTGAAATCAAAGAAAGCACTTATAGGAAAAAGGGGGAAAGCATTGTTTGTTCTACCAAAATTTATTATGTAGTAATTACAAAGTTTAAAGACTCTTTCTTCCATTTTAAATAAAAATAATAGGTATAATTACACATATTGTATAGTACCATGTCAAGTGATTTCAACAAATATAACATGAAATACAGTGCAGTTTCAAATCAGAAAGACAAATACTTTCTCATTCACAGTGTTTGACAAATTACAGGAAAGCTTGTTCACATGAGGGTTTACTTAAGGTCATGCTCTTATAAACAGTCCACATCACGCTGTGCCACAAAAACAAATCATCTCTCAGAACGTGAAGTATCGGGCAAACCACTCCTGGCGTTGCGGATCTGGTGAAGCCACTGGTGAGGCATCAGTCGGAGGAGGGCTAAATTCACAGAAAGAAAAAAAAAAAAAACAATTATCTCACAACTACACAAAAAGTACAACTATTAGGAGAAAAGAAAGAATCATAGAGAATATTCAGTAAGGAACACGGTTTGGTTTTCCGTGGATTAATTATCAGTGTGCCCCAGGACATGATTTAATGTCTCCCTATAGAATCTGTGATCATCCACTCCATTGGAGAGCATCAGCAGCACAGACAAGTCAGTTCAGAAGCCACATTAGAGACTGGGCAAATAATATCTTGTGAAACATAATTTAGAATCTCATAAATAGCTGTAGGTTTCCAGGAAGAATAAAAAGAGTTTTCTTGGAAAAGCGTGACGGTAGAAGGTCCTCTTTTAGCATCCTTTTCCCGTGGTAAAGTTAATTTTGAAAAATATGATGCGAGCATCATATTTGTAGACATGTGCTCACAAAGACTGGCTGGTAACTGAACAGAAATACAAACTATTTTAATAGTTAACACCAATCATGAATATCACTTGCATTGTTGCTCATGCACACAATTAGAATATGCTAATACACTAGGAAAAAAGAAACTACTGTGCTACAAACAGGATTTGGTTTCTCTTTTAACATTCTCACAAACTGAGCAGGAGAGAATAATTTATACAATTTTACACAATTATCTTCCTTTATCAATAGAAATTGGTAATGAAACTAACCTTGATTACTGGATAATACAGGGCAAAAACCAATTTGGAGTGAAAACTCCAGCACCACGGTCCACGGGGTCATGCACATGCATGTTATAGATATCTGAGCACACTCATGCACATCACATGCACAGGAAAAAAATTAGCAACAGTACTTTTTTTTCTTTTTTAAATTGTTTTCTTGAAAAATATTGTTTTATCTATTTTGGATTCTATCATTTATTTCCCTTTATAATTAGCAGTTGTTAGGTATGTGATTTTTTGCATTAAACCAAAGGAGAGAGCAAACAACCAACAGTGGAACCACTAATTAGACATCATTTAAAGTTGTCAACTTAGAGGTAAGAGATCAGCACCTACTAAATACTGAGTACAGCACTTCAGTGCCTTTAATATGTGGGCTCATCAAGCTAAAAGATTAAAACCCTCCCTCTAAAATGCCATTTTTAAGTTATTCAATTCAGTAGATTATTTTGTGAAAGAATTATTTGAGACTTTAATGCTGGTTTTGATTACTGGAAGTTCAGCATTAAGCACCTAAGCCTGCACATTTCCTGTTGCTGTAGGAAGGTTATTCCTATGAAACAATTTGATACAGGTGAGGAAAAGGGAAACACAAAACATTCACGGAGCACAGAAAATAATTTTCTTACATAAAAACCATTATCACATAATACTGAATAAAGGAAATTCCGTGCTCGTATCAATTCCTAAATGAAAATCAGTAAATAACACGAACATTTAAAACAATTGTTCATATATGTAAACAATTGGAAGCACATGAATTCTGTTAGGGTATTTATAAAGGTTTTCAAAGTTCAAGGCTTAGGAAAAAGTGAGAGAATACTTCACATTTCAACAAGGTCTGCAATAAAAAGGAATACTATAAAGAGGTTATAAATACAATGTAAAAATTAAAAATGCCGTAAGAGTACTTGTACCTCTGAAAGGCTGATAAAGCAAGTGGGATTCAGCTCAAAAGGAATGCAAAATTTTCCTGAGTTAAGCAAAAAAAAAAAAAAAAAAGAAAAAAAAAAGATTGGTGAGGCAGTGCTCACCTCAAAAACGTCTTGGGCTCTTTGGGTGGCATTGGCTGTGGTAGTGGTTTGCTGCTGTTGAACTCAATATCGTGGATGGGTGAGTTAGGAATGGGGTCCAGGCGATTAGGATGTCCATTGCCCACCACTCCGCTAGATTCCAGAGCACTTAGATTGGGGACACTCACAAACCTGTTTGTTGATTTATCGTTCTTCTTCTTTTGCTGCATTAAAAATAACAAACGTAAGGAAGGCTTCTTGCACCTGGACAGACGAGGACATTGGCAAACTTAAAAAGTTTTACTGATGGCTGGTTTGGAGGTTTTTTGAAGGAGAGGAATTGTGACAGATTGGGCCCTTTTTCCAACTGTAGTTATTCTGTTTGCTTTGACCAGACCCAAACACCACAGATTTTCACAGAAAAATCAAATTTCTGATCAAGATGATTAAGTTATTGCAACTTAGCGTAATAATCAATGAATACGTCACAGGAGGTCTTTCAGTGTAACATTTTGCCCTATTTAAACATTGGACATTGACAATCTCGTGGAAAACTTCCTTTCAGTCTGCTAAACCTTTCATGTTTACTCAAAACTTTTCTTGATACTTGCAGACCTTTCTCAGCAATCAACACCCTCACAGTCAGCAGGCATTACAGCGATACGACTGAAGATACAAATATTACTGTACAGGAGTTCAGTTTCTTGCATAAGGAAAAGGCCAGGCTTTGATGCCATTAGAGCTGCCACTTCTGGACACCAGATGGCACAATTGAACAGTTTTTCTATTTGTAATACTCTCTGAACTTCTCCTGATAGCATTTCAAGGGACTCAAAATACTGAAGAAATTTATTTTTATATCACTATTCTACATTCCATAACACATCATACGAAGAAGTCACTATTTAACCTCTCCATAGATACTCTAATGTAGAAGGATGCTTCAAATAATTCCACAGCTTTGTTTTTTTTTTAAATGGCTGTGACAAGAAACCTTGTGTATTTTCTGACTTGTATCAAATATTCCATGTCCACAATAAAATATTAATATTAAAAGCATCTTATTTCTAAAAATAAGATTTTTAACATGCCCAGAGCAATGAAAAAATACTTTGCTCATAAATATAATGAATTATGTATTATTTGAATATATAATAAATAATTTCCTTCAATTACTTACATGCAACCCTAAAAAGGCAGCTAGGAGAAGAACCCTTAAGGGCTTGTGAACTACACAAATTTGAATAAAAGTGAAAGACAAGTGCATTTTCCAGCAGAATTCCACTTGAAACAGGAGAGCTGCTCTATTCAGGGGTGGGCACAAGTTCAAATAGAGACAGACAGAGAGTCCTATTGATTGTTTGCACTTTCTTCTCTTTAGCTCTCAGCTGGCTTTGATTTCAGTGCCCGGCCTCTCCAGGCTGGCAGATGCAAATGCTATTAATTGTAGCCATACTGGTGGATGTGTTTGTCAAAGTATAATTAAAAACCCCCAACAATTTAACCAAATGGCTATAATAGAAAAATTTCCTTTCTAGGCATCACAATGAAAGATCATCAGCCACAAAGGATTAAACTAAGATTGTCCCGTACACTTCTGCTTTAGTAGCTGAAGAAGCAAGAAATATTATGATGGAAGAAATAGTTTGGTAAAAGTAACCAACTGCGTGTAAAATACACTTGCAAGGCAAGACACATTGCAATTAAAACTGTGTATTAAACAAACTATAGTAAAATCTGTGTGCTCCACACATGGCCCATTTCTGGAAAATGTAAGTTATCCACGTAAGTGCTTAGAAAAATACTGCAATTTATATAACATTCTCTATAAAATAATCTGTGCTTCTGAAGTGGTGAAATCCAGAAAGAGAAAATTGTGTGTATTGTTTCCATGAAATTCATGCAAAGTATTAAGAAACTTCAGATGTAACAATATAATACTAAACAGATCCATTGCATAAATTAGAGAAGCTGTAATACATACTGCAATGGCTGTAATTTTGCATTAATATGCAAAATCTGTAGTAAATCATAAATTCTGTCTTTCTTTTTAAAAAGGAAAGGAGAATGAGATTTTCAGTTTCTCTGTAATTCATTCTCCAATAACACAGCACATGCTTTGACAAAATAAAGTAACATAGTCCACAATTCATGAAATGAGAGGTCAGAATGTTCTGGCATACAAGACACTTTTAAAGTCTAAACACTTTTGAGTGATAGGAGAATATTATAAAAATACATGAATTATCACTATGGAAATCTGATGTTAAAGTACTTTTGCCAAACACTTCAGATTTCACACAAAACAAGCTTTTATACTAGATGGTTACATTTCACATCTTTATAAATGAATGGTTCAGACAAACTTTCAAAATTTTCAAACAACCTTTATCACATAAAACTAAACATTCAAATTGTATCTGGATGTCCTGGTATTGTCTCTACTGGGCCCAGTCTAAGTTTTTTTATGCAGTTTGCATAAAAATTAGGCATCCACAGATAAGCTTGTGAGAGCTGCTGGACTCCTGAAAATCATAGGGGAATATTGACATTTTGCTGCTGAGCTTGTGCAGAAGTGTGAGATACTTGATCTGATGTGAAACTGCAATAAAGCTTGGCTAAATAACAGAGCCTGATCCCAAATAGTGGAGCCAGACCTTCTTTTAAATAATGGGAGCCTGAACCTTGATCACTGAAGCACTCAGGCATCTCAGCTACTCATGTTGTGCCCCTTGGCTTAGCCTCTGTTTCAGAACTGTCCTGAGTTGTTCTGCCTCTAGAGCTGGCACAAATCTATTCCCCTTCCATGCAGGTGGAATCACCTATGGGTTATCACAAGGGGGAAGGAAATGTCAGAGGATTCATTCTTATTCCTGAAGTGGTGAAAAGAAATAGAATTAAGGTACCCTACTACAGCCTATTCACACTCCTCATGACAGAATGGTGCTGGTATTGAAGTGACAGGAAGGCTACTATGCCTGCATGTACAGTAGCCTTCCCTGGCTATTCAGCAGGATGGAGAGAACTGGTAAAGGTGGCTACTGAAGTGCTTTGACTTGTATAGGTTGTGACAATAACTGAGAAGGCCAGAGACTGACTTCTGTCTCCTGCTGCCTCCACCGTCCATAATACCTGGTTTGTCACTCCAATGCTCCAGTCTTACTCTACAGCTTTCCACATTCAAACATCCTATGCCTTTCTCATACTCTCCCCATTCAACTTTTTACCCTTATTCCCTTCCTTTTAGTGTCACCTCTCCCTCTGTATTTCTAACGCCCTTCCATCCTGAGCACTTTCCCAAAATTGCTAAGTGCCTTTGCACTTTCCAAAATAACCACGAAAAAATCACAAAACTAAAACCAGTTAGGGGTGTCACTGCTTTCCATTGTATGCTATAGTTCTGCCCTCCGTTGCCTTTCTGTCACTTTTCTATTTTGATTTTGCAGTTTTGTGAGAAGGAACAGTGTTTTATGCCACACATGTCAAGCAAACCAGGGCAACAGCATCAGTGGATCTCTCAACAACACAAAAGTAACAAACCTACACAAAATAAGTAGAGACAAATGGAAAACTATGTTCCTTGTTTTGAACATGTCTTTTAAGAGTGATTTATGTACAGATGCAGGCACACACACAAACACATATATTTCTTCCTTTTACTATATCTTTAGATTTCTTTTTCTTTACTTTAGCAATGAAGTCCATGGAACATACCTTCACCAATGGATTAATAACACCAACATTAGGGCTTGCATTAAACATTTTGTTGTAGTTAGTCTCCCTGTCAACTAGTTCCAGCTGATAGAACTTTTTGTCCTCCTAAAAAGAACAACAAATAGAAACTTCTTTTTATGCATTTTCAATCAGTTAGTGGCCAAATCTGCCTATAAAATGTTCTCAAATAAATTTATGCTTACATTTTAAAATAAACTGGCAATTCTAAAAATTGCATTTCGTGTTTTATATATTATTATATGTCATAATCTAAATAATTTCTATTTCTGTAGTTCTACGGTCCTGAGAGGGAGCATAGCTTCATGGATTATGTGCCAGGAAAGACTCAGAATAGTTAACTTGTGATCTTTAATTAATTTTAATTTCCTCATTCCTTCTTGCTTCTTAATGAGGATCTAATCAGACTAACCCGAGTCATGGTGCTGTGCTCTGAATTTGGGAAGCTCAGCGGATCAGGATATTGGTCTTAAAAAATCTCACAGAAGAGACTATTTCACATATGGCTTACATGGCTGGCTTATTCCAGGACTGGAGACAGGAGACATCTGATCAAGGACACACCAAAATATTTCTGTAATAATGTATCATGCGTGATTGTGGAAAACACTTTGTATCTTATTAGCTTTACTATCACGAGTAACTGGAACCACAGGAATAATGTGTTAAATAATATGAATAACATGCTAGCAGGATTGGTTCTTTAAATACATTTCAAACACTTTGAATTAGATTAACTTTTGTATCTGCCAAGATATTACACCAAGAGAGCATAGAAGTCTTACAATCAGTTTCTTTATGAGCTGGTCCCGCTCTGCAATTAGGTCTTTCAGTTCTGAGATAAGCTGCAAGTCTTCTGGTCTTGATTCTCTGTTTTTATATTTTTCTTCCATTTCTTCTAAACTTTATAGAAAAGAAGAATACCCTCTTTAGCCTGATCCAGTGTTAAATGACGAGTGAACAGTCACATTTTGATTAGTACAAAAGAGAGTTCAAGGAGTAAAAACAGAAGATGACTTTCCTGTTATCCTGAAGGAAATTAGTTTCTACGTTCTCATTCAGCTTTAGATAGGTAAGAAACAAAACAAAACATAAAACCCCAATAACAATAACTTTCTCTTCAGCAACTAATAATCTGGGCAAAATTCTAAAAACTTAACATCCTTCCTGTGCATGCAGTACTATGTGTTTGAAAAAGGCCTCTTGGAAGTCAGCCCTGAAAATAAGGCATTCAAACCCACAATATGGACAGAAGAATTACAGAAGACAAAGCTAAAATTGATTCTTACGTAAAATTTAGGGACTACACAGCACTACATTTAATATTAATGTAAATTTAAAAAGATGACAATTCACTTTCCTAATGAGGAAAACCAACAGCATAATTTTCTTTTTTTTTTTTTTCTAATTTTAATAGAAGACTACTCTGAATAAAGATGTAAAGATGCATGCTTGTGATAATGGAGAAACTGGATAGACAGAAAAAGCTGGCAGCATCTTCCTCAGTTCACATGGAACATACTGGAACAAAGATATCCAAGAACACTGAAGACTAACAGGTAACTAACTCCTCCCCACAAAAGCAACTTAGTACCATTAGAGATGAAATAAAGGAACGAGCTGCAAAACAAAAGCAATAACACTTGGATATTAGGATATCTAGATTAAGAGAAATGTAACAACTGATAAACATTTGAAAAAAAAAAAAAAGAAGAAATTTGAAATGCTTGGTAGGAAAGCATTAAAGGAGAAAAGTGAAATAAGCCAACTGAGAGAAGAATTGTACAAATAACTGCATAAATGTCGTTTTTTCTTAAAGAACAAGTTTTGAAGACAGGACAATTTCAAATGACTGTGTCTCTTTTAAACAAATGTTCATGATGTTAAACATTGTTTCAAAGGAAACTACTAAAATACTTGTCTCACAAATTCAGCCCTCGTGTAGATTAGAGAGCCAAGTTTCAGAACAGATTCAGGAAAGTTAACAAACTTAATGAAAGAAAGAAAAAAAATCCCAATAAAACGCTGAGAAAAATCTATGAATTTAAATTGTCTAACTCAAGTCAAACTTAGTTCCACAAGACTCTTGGAAGTAGATACGATTTCTCACTTTAGATAAATATTTTCTCTTCAAAAGCAACTATATGATTCTTTGCTTTGATTTGCAGCTGAAAAAGCAGCTAATATTAAATTGTACCGATAACCTTCAAATAACCTGTACATACTCTGATGAGATTATATAATGTATTTACATAAAACAATATGAATGAGAACAACATGACTGTTTTTACTTGCAGAGAAGGCATCTGACTCAGCAGAACAGAAATAGCCACAGCTGGCTTAATTTTTGTGTATACAGATCTCCAGAGTGCAGTACATAGTTACACATAGCTGTCATTTAATTTGCAGATACTTCAAAGAACTGGGTTTATTTTTCTGCTTCAAATAGATAATTTGTAATTTAAGGACTCTAGTTGCACAGCCTGATTAATGACACCCACTTTCAATTATTTTAAGATACGTTCTCCATTTCACAAACGTTCATGAGGCCATGCTTTATGTGAGCTTGAACCTGGAAACAGTTACTTGAGAAACAGGTACATAAAACTCCTCCTCCTTTTTTAAAAAAAAAAATTTAGTTTTATTTTATTTTATTTATTTGTTTGCTTTTTTACGTAGTTTCCTCTTTACACAGCTTCTTGCTTCAGTGTAAATAGAGAGATAACACACTGGAAGCCAGGTCAGGGCATCCTGGATGATGCTTCTGACTTTAGGCCAGTGGCTGCTTCCTTGCAGCTCTGAGTTGAGCAAGAACCAGGAGTAAGGAGCCAGCCAATCCAGAAAATTTCTGGACACTGAAAAGCAAACAACTAAATGTGAAAAAAACCTCGGGTAGACAGTTCCAAAGGCTGCTCATAGGCCCCTTTCTCATACAAAATAAATGTAGCAAACAGGAAGTAGCTTACACCTAATTTACTGAATGGCAAGTTACCACATTTATCAGGGCATAAGAGTGTGCATGTGGATGATTACAAGGCAGTGAGAACTAGAATTTTATACCCATCTTTTGTGAGGACAATTTTTGAGCGCTCATTATCAAGAAAAAATTAGATGCATTTTGGCTTTATTGTTCATTTTTAACTGATATTTACTTAAAAAAGTTTACTGTCAGAAACTTAGAACCAGTTCTTTTCTCTGCCATAAATCCTTTGTGCTACAAATACAAATCCCTCAGTGACAAATTTGTGGCAGGAAGCCCTCAGTGCAGTATGAAACCTGATCCAGAAACTGTGACCAAATTGGTTACACATCACAGAGATACAGAATGAAGGTTGCAAAAGACAGGAAAACAGTGGTTGGACAACATACTAAGGTGAATTCTGCCCAGAGGTGGTCTAATCCAAGGTGGCATTTTGACTGTGAGAAACTAAGTATTCTGTTTATGTTATGCTCATATAATCCATTTCAGACACTAACTTTCCTTATCTTAGCAAAGCTGAAAATGTTTGCACTGCTCATGCTATAATCACACTTCTCAGTAGCAAATGCTGCCCTGTTTATAAACTTGTAGAAGAAGCTCTTGTGTTCTCAAAAAGAGATGTATTCAAGTTTGAGAAAAAAATATTTGAAGTAATGTTTTCTCTAGTTTTCTAGGAACTGCACAGATTTAATATCTTCTCCATGTGAAATTGTTGGTCTCAAACCCCTAACAATTTATCTCACTATAGACCCCTAAAGATTATAGAATTGTGTTCCCTAAAGAATACAAGATTGGGCCCCATACTTGATTATTTGTATATCTGCACCTCTGCATTATCTTCAGGAACTTATGGATACACTCAAATGCAGCTACATACATATTTTTTAATGCAACAAAACTTACGAAATTTGTAAAGCTGAATTAATTTCCTTGAGCAGCTCTTGGGTCTTATTAAAATCTGCCAGCATGCTTTGTTTCTCTCTGATGTGATCTGCTGTCAAGACATCCAGCTCTTTCTCATGTTTCTTGCTTAAATCTTGCTCATGCATCCTGTTTAATTTATTTTTTATTAAAAAAAGAGTTACTCTAAAATCAGACTTGTTTGTTCATCATGATTTTCTGCCATGCTTCTAATGGCTTTTACACAGTATCAGACAACACAGAAGGAATTACTCATTCATCAAAACCCACTACTTACTGTTCTCCAATCTTCTAGCTTATTTCATGGAAAATGCATCTCCTTTAATGCTTTTTTAAATAAACAAACATAATGATTTTGAAAAAAAACCCAAACAACCAAAATGTCAAAAACCAACACTTGATCAAACTGTTACTAAAATATGCCAAAATGTATCATTGAAATGCAACTTAAGTGTATGGTAATATTCACTAACTTTACTACTAACGGGCATAGCTTTTCCTAAAGAAGACTAAATGATATGTAACATCACTTGATTAAGAGGATAAACTAAGAATTGCACATGGTAAAATTTCTTAAGTAAAACAATAAGCAAAACAATACACATTTGAGTTTAGAGTGAAAAAATTCATACCTGATCTGTTGGTTGGATTCACTGTGTATTCTAAGAATTTCTTTCCCTTTAAACTCTAATTCCTTTGTCAATGCACTTATATTTTCATGAAGATGCAGAATCTCTTTGTCCAGTTCAGCTATATGATGGTCTCGGTGTCTCAGTTCATCTTGCAGATCTGATATTCGGCATAAAAATTCTTTCTCCTATGATATACAAGTAGCAGCATTTAAATATAAAAAAATATTTTAGATAGACTTGTGTCTCAGGAGCACAACACTTGCTTCTGTATTGTGAGCTGAGCAGAATTTTCCATTCAATATACAATTTTGTCAGTTTTAGATGCTGATACAAATTATAATTAAAATGAACGGGTTCTTTTTTATTGTGTACAAGTGCAAAGAAAGAAGAAATCAAAGTTATGTAACAAGCAATTTCCATCTGCCAAAAAAGTTAAAACCTGTCATTGTCATTGCCAGTTAAAATTTGTGCAGCTCATCACATTTTCCTTCTGCCCACACACACAACAAAAAAACCCAGGTATTGCTAAGAACCAGGGGCCTGGGCATTTAGCATTTTCTGCCTTGTCAGCACACACTCCATAGAAACTTTTTTTTTCCTTTACAGACCCATTCAATGGGAGAAAATTGCTCAAGATGTATGCCCTGCATGAGCAAACACTGACTCGGAAGTCTCTTATCTTACAAATATATACAAGGGTCATAAATTTTTTGCAGCAGAATATGTACTAAATAGTTTATGTAATATTTATATTGCTTTCAAAGTGTAATTCTTTTTGCATAAGAAACTATACAATAAAGTTAACATCTGGGAAATTCATCTGGAGCCCATTCAACTGGCTTTGGTAATGCGTCTCCTCAGTTAAGAAATGTCTGTAATGAAAACAATCTTCTTCAGAGTTTTCTATTTCCACCTATTCCACTTCTTACAGTTTCAGAATAATTAATGACCCTATAGTTTGTACAGAGAGAAAATCAGCAGATATTTCAAAGAAGTTTTAGGTATAATTGTGTTTTGTACCTTCCTGCCTCCAGGAAATACAAATATATCCCAACGAACAAATTTTATAGGGTGTCTTTAAGAACAGACCATTAAAAATAACTATCTACCTCCCTATATATAGACTACATTAAAGTTATATGAAAAAGCAGTGGAAAAGTTACATCCACATATTTAAATATTTCAAAAAGTAGACTACTCTGCATCTATTTCAACTCTGATCCTGTGAACTGATGAGCATTTTAACAGAAGAAAACACAATTACTTGCTTTGCCCTCAGTACAACTCAAGCTTGTGCTTAGCAGATCATTATACTGAGGCCAAAAGTACAGGGTATGTGGTTGGATCAAACACTGGCTCTTGTAATTTAAACTTTTTTTTCTGACATCTCCTTCAGGTGTCAGACTCTAGGCTTAAACAACACGGCTGAAAATATATCCTCCTAAATCCTGCATGACAGCATCACGTTTTTGGCTCTAGTGCTAACACTTTTAAATCAGCAAGGAGGAGATAAAGAAGGGCTCATCTCTGACTGCCTTCGTTTTTGTGTAAAGGCTATGTCCAACTAAGCCTGCTTACTCTGTTAATATATTTCTAAAACTACTCCTCCTCCCTGGTGTCGGACTACCAGTAAATCAATCTTGAAAAGCCTATTGAATAGGAAAATAAAGAGGTAGTTTTCTGGTCTTCTTACTTCCAGAAGTCTGGATTCCTCTCAGTAGCGATTAAACTTTGAATTTTTAGTTACCAGTGGAAAAACTAATTGTGTATAAAATGAAAATGAAAGATAAAAGTGAATTAATCGATTTGCTACTGAAAGCAAAGGTAGTCCATACTGGCTCTGGGATTTTGTTTTAGGGCTTTTTGGTGTGTGTTTATTTTTCTATGAAATAGTTGCAAGCTCTTACATCAGCTACTCTGTTTTCTTTATATGTTAATTAATCTTTTCTTATTTGGCTTCTGAAGAAAAGAGACTAAGATATCTCTTAAGTTTGAAACAATCATTTGGTTATAAGCAACCACTTCATTTGCCATATCACTTAGGCCTCAAAGAGAAACAGCTTTTTCCTTTTAAGTCCTGCTGGCAGTTGAGGATGAGTACAATTTTGCAAGAACAGGCACTTGCATCCCACAGCAAGCCAGAGTGCTCCCAGATGGCTGCACATTTCTGCGAGGAAACTGCCTTGATACCGGAGCCTTTAGTAGGCTTTGAATGAAGTCTGTAGAAGGAAGAAAAAGCTAACTAAGGAAGTTTAGGAAACTGGTAGGAATGCGTTAGCTGCTGGTGCCAGGTGACTTGGAAGGATTACAGGTTTGTTGTTTGTTCACAACAGTTCTCGCCTCCAGCTAAGAGAAAAACAGACACTGATCACGCCGTCTTACAGTCAGTCGCCAGCCGTGCCCCTTACCTGTCGCCTGCCGATTTCTATGCTTCTTTCGAGCTCCATTTTGGCAGCTACCAGTTCTTGTTGATGGTTGTGCCTCAGCTGGTCAATTGCTGCTGCATGTTGGTGATTGAGCTCTGAGCGCAAGGAAGCTGGTGACCGTGAACAAACAGAGAAGTTTACTTTGGAAACGTTTACATTAACAATACCAGTCCAGCTCCCTCTAGTATTGTGGCTGACCTAACACACTCTGTTTACATCAGCTAAGCAATTGTCCTGTCATTCTATTCCTGTTACTTTCTGAAATGTTACCCATCTGGAACCTACATCGCTTACTCCTTCCGAAAAGAACTACATAAGATAGGATAAGGGTAAGATAGTTTAAAAGTGAGCAGTTTGGACTTACCTGTTAAAGCTTATACTGATTTTAACAGGGACATTTAGGTCAACACTGAATGAATTTCAGATGCACTATGGTGTTATAACACATACACACATATATAGATGTGCGTCTATATTTGCATGAGTAGAAATAAAGTTTTTGGACCCATTTTCAAATTTGAAAATAGTATATACCTAACATAGCTTTTCCTTCATCCTCCAGCTCAAATCGTAGAGTCTGAAGTTCCTGTTCCATCTCCAATTTAAAGCCTTCCATGGCTTGTTTATGTGTTTCTTTCAGTGCATGAAGTTCTTCTGAATGCTTCTGTTGTAAACGTTCTTCTAATTCCTATGAAATCAAAATTGACAGAATTTATTCTATACAAACTTAAAAAATTTATAAAATATTACACAACAAACAACTGAAAATAAACAACAGGCATTGCCATACTCTAGAAATTATTTTAAATGCACTAATTTAACTCATATTTTCTTGTCCTACTACTACATTTCTCTTTTCAGTGGCTCATGGTTATCAAGATGACCTGGACACAAAAGCCCTGTTCTGCTCACAGCTGGAAAAGATTAAAAAAACAATCTATGAATATATGTATAATAACAAGCACTGTAGTGAAGTGCAGATCCATAGATGGGGTTAGTGTGCACACAATACATATTTGGAGATTTTTGCCCCCTAAGGACACCCATGTTTACTCCCTGTTGAATTGTATGAAGCATAATGTTCCTGGTGCACACCTTCTGGTTTGATTTTGAACAAAAGCAATCCACCTTGCATGCTCCAAGACCAGTCTGTGATGTGAACCAAAATACACTAAGGGTGGACAATGGGAAAACTGACAGCAAAAGTGCACTCTAGAGCCGAACTTAAAAAAACTTAAGATGACCTCCCCATTAAGTACTATTCACTGCCAACTTTAAATTTTAAAGATGCTTTAGTCAAGGTTTTAAAAAAATATCTTAAGTGAGACATGAAAATTATCTTGCAAGTCACAGAACATAACTTATCCAATTTTTAACATAATGCAAATATAAAATACATTGAAAAGCAGTCAATTGACAGAAAATACATGCAAAATTAAGTAACTGTAATGGAAAATTCTTAGAATATAGTATGAAGGGTAACAATATCAAACTACCATAAAGAAATACATGTGTTGATAATAATTTCACATATACATAAATCCACACTTACATACATGCATATAAAGCAAGACATGAAACAATGCCAGTGTTAGAGATGATTTTCAATATGCCTTGCTCAGATTTAACTGGATAGCAGTATAACTGTAGTACATCAGCTGGAAAGGAAATTTCGTAGTTATGCAGATACTTTACGAATGCCAACTGTGTACATAAAATGCTACAATGGCAGCATTCTCTGCAGAATTTGGAATAACAGTATGAACATGCCTTTTGTTCTTGCTCTTTTGTTTCTTCCATGTTTTGAAAGGCAAGGATATGGGCTTCCTGAAGGGACTTATGCCTTTGCTGATGCTCCTCTTCTAATTCCTGGATCTCCTGAGTCAGCCTCTGTCGCTCCTGACTGAACTGGGCTTGTAGCTGTTGCAAAGAGCTCTGAGACTGGGAAAGCTGCATCTCCAGATTCTGCTTCAGTAAGGAGATCTAATCCACAACAGAACAGCAAATATCTGTTAGTCATTAATACTAAAATCAGCTGTAAAGAAGACATTCAAAAGAAGAAAACATTTGAAATTTTAAAGCCATTGTTAGTTAAAAGACAGACAAGCAATGTCATCCATGTATGAATTTTTTGTTAATATTATATGTCAGAGATATAAAAATTACATTTTAATGGTTTTGTAAGGGTTATCACATTGGTCAGTTCATACTACAGCACTATCTGTAACACAGTTTTCATGGCCAAATTATCAAAAATTATTTCTAGGTTTTATATAAAAGATCAATAAAAATGACACTATCAAGGTCTGAAAGCAACCATCTGATTGTTAAACTATTCTTCAGGGCAACATCCATTCTCCAAGGATAATCTTGCACTTGGATAGTGGGGGACAGCCTGTGACATCTACATTGACGGATTTTTGTATCTTTTACCACAGATAGATCACAGAATATTCTGAGTTGGGAGGGACCCACAAGAATCCTCGAGTCAAAGTCTTAGGTGAACGGCCCATTAGGGAGATTGGACCCAGAACCTTGGTGTTATTAGCACCAGGCTCTAACCAACTAATCTCATATGTTATGGACCGATCTTAATGGTAGTTTTCTCATTTAGAAAGAAATGGCAGCATAACATTCTACATCACAAATAAAAAGTAACACTTTTTTGTTAGCTCAGTAAGACTATGAGAGTGATTTTATGCTTGTTTACAAGATCTAAGATCTACGCAATCTGAATCACAAATAACTCATTTTCTTAGAAATACCTGATTTTACAATTGATGTTTTTCAGCCAACAAGTATTACAGTACACTGTATTCCTTCGAAAAATCTAATTTTATTTTTATAATAATAATATACTTAGTTCTGCACATCAGATACCATCTTTTCAGACTGAAAGTACTAAACTTGTATTCCCTTTAGAGCTAAACACAAGAGAGATACCCTCCACTTTTGGAAACAAGATTTAACCAAAAGAGAACTTTGCTAGAGTGACTCAAAGGAAGGAAAATAAAATTGCCGTGTGACAAAGAACTTGAATCAGTAAGGATACTTTTCAAGCCTCAGAGCATTACATAATAGGGAATTATAACTTTAAGTCTGATAGTGTCATTTGATTCAGCATATCTTAAAGTTAATTATGACAAATTAATAACGACATTGCACATCAATTTGTTGCGTTAGAGAACATTAATACCCACCACTTAACGAAAAATTAATAGCAGCATACCAAGTACAACTTGCAGCATAAACATTGTTGTCAAACGTGGGTTCAGTTATTTTCAGAAGGACACAGCTGAAGCAGATTTGAAACAAAAAAGCTACACAAATAAAAATTAGCAGTAAAACAAGAAGAACAAAATAAAGCACTGAGGCGATGTTTTCATGGAATTATATACCGTAGTCTCCAAACCTACTTTCTAGTTGTAACAGGTCAAGGTAAGGCTCATAATTTTACACCAGAAGTTTACAATTTTTTTCCCCTTGTGTGTCACTTCCCATTTATCTACACTAAATTTAATCTGCCATTTTATTGCCAAGTCCCTTGGCTTTTTACAGCCATTCTATAATTCTTCAGTGCTTTTCCCACCCTGAATAAATTTTAATAAGCTGCAAAGTTTCCTACCTTATTTATCAACAACCTGCAAAAAGCATATGCTGCGCATCAGTTTAACTCCACTGATAATCTTTGTTCACTTTGGTAACACTCTATTTAATACCTATTTTTCGACTAGTTACTTATCTATACAAAACCTTCTCACCATTGTCCTGTCCTGTTCACCACGGCCACCAGGATGTACAAGTCTAGAGGAGCTCCTGCTCAGTCCTGCAGAACCTCAGGCCATTTAATCACCACACTCTTAACAAGCCTTTCATGATAATATTCAAATGGAGTCAACCATGGTAACTTAGCCAAATTTTTAAGATGACATGAAAAAATGTATTTTCGGCTTGAAGTTAAATCTGTCTCTCGTTTAAGTTCCTGCTCCAAACTCTGATAATTCTTAGTATATCATTTATAAACATTTTGAGCATGGACCAAAGGCAAAATAATTTTCTTTTAATTTCCTTCTTGTAAATGCAGAAAATATTTTAATTGAGATGACCAAGAGTAGTCTGACATCCAGCCAGGAAGACGTCTTAGAAGAGATCAGGAATACACAAGAGCAGTTCATACTTCCACCAGATTAAAGTGACTGCAAAACCACAACCTGAAATGAGGCAATGTCTGGAGATGTCTATTTGCATCAATAGACTACACAGAAAATAAAAGACAATGAGGATTAAATGATTCTAACAAGCAAGTCAGGTAAGTCTACCCTTTTAATAATTTTTTGTTGTTGTTGAAAAGTAAAAAAAATTTAAAATCTGAGTCTTTTTGGAAGACCACATAATTTTAAATATTAGTTTAATTATTCAGTATATACACTTATATCCTTAAGAGCAAATTTTTGAGAACATTAGTGCCTCCCTTTGCATGTCTTTGGACCACCCCTTCTATACACCTCTGTATTGAGGACTGAAAAGAAAACAGCTGTCAACACTACTCTCTGAACTTTTAAGACTTTTACCCACGGTTTTCAGTGCATTGAAAACAAGAGTGAGGATTTTAAAAACAAAACAGAAAGAAAGAATATTTTGGCTACAGTTAAGACTTGGCACTGCAAAACTGCAAATTATAATACAGCATCAATCTCATGCTTGGTAGAAAGCTCTTGCAATACACGTTAGCGCTGCCCACAAGCTTGCTTGCGTTAACAATGACATAAAAATGCCGCTTATGTTATGAGCACGCACACAGTGTTTGATGCCCGATGATACGTAGACAGTCACACAGACGAACGGATGCAGTACACAAGCTTTTCATAACTAGTGGCACACGTTCTCCTCTCAGATATTACCATGTTTCCCATTTCATGGGCTAAAGCTCCAAAGCAGTGTTACAGGATAGGCAGGTTGATTAGTGCAAGCATGCCCTGTTCACAAGCTGTAAGTGCAAATCACTTACATTGCTGATAGATTTATGCAAAGCTTCACCGAGACAGTGCCGCTATGAAGAAAAGATCACAGGAATAAAGGGAAACATTCAGAAATCAACTAAGTAAAAGAAAAAGGGATAAGGCAGGAAGGGTAAACATAGAACATTAATTGTAATTTGATCGGAGAAAAATAAGTTGAAAACCATCTGGAAAAAAAAAAAAAGAATACATTTGACTTTCAGTAGATAAGCTACCGAACACAGAACAAGAATGATGTGGTTTCCCATGTTATGTTTTGGACACACAGAATAGCATTATCTCTTTCACATAATGTTGCTATATAGTCACATATTACACAGCTGAACACTTTTGAAGTTATCCACTTGTTTTCTCATTTATGGCAAATAATTTTTGGTAGAAATCATTAAGTACACCAATTTGCATTCCTATAAGAAAAATTAGGATGCAATCAACAATCAGCTGTGTCTCTGAATACCACAAGCACATCAAACACATCATATTAAAGAACAAATTTCACTGCTAAAGAGCAGAAAATTAGTCTGCAATGAAGACATTTCTATTAAAGTACTTTTATTTTTCTTGAAATTCAGAATGAGATGGGTACATAAAAGATTCTTCCTGCAAGTCTCCAGCAATAAAATGACTTAATGTACCACTTACACTAGTGTTGATGACTAATGAAAAGCAAAAAACCCCAATATATTGCCAATTACATGTTCAATGAAATATTATTGATCATACAAATAACACACATCATTTCACCATCCCTGGAGGTTTTTTCAGTGCCCCTGGAGGTTTTTAAGATGAGGCTAGATGTGGCACTTAGTGCCACGGTCTAGTAACCATGGCAGCATTGGATCAAGGGTGGGACTTGATGATCTCGGGAGTCTTTTCCAACCTGGTTGATTCTATGACTCATTAATGTGTGTGTATATATATATATATATATATAAAGGCCTGTGTGTTTTTAAAGATTAATCATGTGCATAAGCAAAGACGCTTGCATAAAACAGAGTCATCAGAAATTAAGTGAGAGCAATTTCAAAGTCAGCGTGACCACTTTACCCTTTTGGCACAGGTCAATCAAGAACCTGGCTTTCTCCAGGAGACAGCAGGTATTTTGACACCAGCCTAGAAGCATATAGGTGGGAACTATAAGATAATACTTTGTCAAAATACAAAAAGAAATTGTTATTCATTCTCATGAATCTACAAAAAGGCACAACACAAAAATACATTATTGTGAAATATCCAAAATGAGCTCATTAAAATTGTTAAGAGAGTTATAAGCAATAATTTTCTATGCAAGGGCATAACACTAGGAGGCATTATACACCAGCAGAAAAGACAACAGACTGGCATCTGACAGCTCCGATTCCAACACAGGATTTTGAGAGTCCCAGTCTGAACAAATCAGCCTAATTTCCCTGTGGTTCCTTTCCCATCTGTTTGGTGCTGTTACAAGCAGGAATAATCTCTTGCAAAATAAATGTTAAGTCTATAGAACATTTTGGACTCAATATTGCTGGACATATCTAGGCAGTACTGTGGTACAACTAAGAAGTATTTAGATTTTACACCTGAAGCAGAAGGGTTCATACTGTTCTACACTGAAGAAAAGTTCCAAGTAAAAATACTTTTGGGAAGATATATTCTGAGGTCTACCCTATTATAAAAAGGCCATTTAAGAGAGTTGCCCTCTGACACTTGTAGAATAACAGATTTCTTTCACCAAGAAAGAAACTTTTCTTTCTTTGCTGTCAAACTGATCTTACAACTAAAAGCACTAACATGGGATAACCATTTTAATACATGTGATTTCACCAAATTTAAGTTTTATAGAGAGGTGGAGAATGGATGGAATTAAAATGAACTCTCGGTGAAGGTTCTGCACTAAAATTTTCCAGTTAAATTTGTCACAGATTTTTTAGGCTACATCACTCAAAGCAATCTTTCTGCAACCCGCAATTCCTGATGTGAAATGAGATCAGTAAGTATCTTGTCCAAAAAAATTAACTACTAACTGCTTAGATCTTATTGGCAAAAAGAAGATCATGCAAAGACCAAAAAAAGTTATATTTTAATAAAGTACACTCCTACATATTCTAAAAAGACACACAGCAAAGCTGAATACACAGTAAATACAGTTTATTTATTTTTAGCAAAACCTGAAATACACAAGTACTTGACCAATCTGGAAGTCTAAGTATCATATCACTATTCAAAAGCATTTAATTATAGGACAGCTGGCTAAACATCAGTCTGGTAAAAAAGACTGGAAAAGATGATTTAGGAGTCAAACAAGAAAATCTTCAAGTGTAAAAATAAGATGATTTGCAGTCAACAAAGCAACGGAATAAAGACCTTTGATAACAAACTTGGGAAATAAATGCTCCTGTACAGAAATAATACATAAGAGAAATTTTTAATAGTATTCAATCTATTATCAAATGAGATTTTTATTAAAACGTGTGCTTGTACAGTATTATTGAAAGATATTTGAAAAGATTAAAACTAACCTACTCTATTTCAAAAACAGTGTTGTTTGATCACTGAAATCAAACATGAATTCACTAGGATTATTACTAAACCTGACCAGGACTTATTATTTTCATCCTTTATTAGACAGTAAATCATTTTCCTAATAACCATACACAATAGAATAGGACTATAGAATTATATAGGCTGGTCAACTGGTATGGGGGCTGATTCCAGCCAAGTGTGAAGCAATATAGTCAGCTGCAGCTCCAACTGAAAAGTATGCAGGACACAATCAGAATGCAGAACTCCAAAATAATGCTGGTTTCAGTATTACTAAGGAATTCCATAAAAATTCAAAACAACTCTATGAGTACTTCCACAGCAAGGTCCATGTTCTGGAGAAAAAGTATTAAGAACCAAAAAGAATGCAGGCATAATTATTACTGTCTGTATTTCTACAATGGGGAAAAGCAATGAGAAAAAAAACAAGGGAGAAGGTGGATTTAACTAGCACTCTATTTCTACAGGCTAGAATTCAAGGTTTGATTTGTGATGTTACCACGGTATAAGAAACCCTTGCTCACTTTGTAGATGTGGGGTGTACAAGTGAATTAATTTGCTGCTTGGAAGTACAGGAACTTCTGAAAACATATCTCTATTTGGTATGTATGTATTAACTAACCTAACTTTACTTGATTTTTCTGTCTCATTTTACAGTAGAAGTATTATCTTCTCCACCTTCAGCATATGCACAGCTAAGCCTCAGGTGTAACCAAGAGAACTTCATCATGACCCAGAGGAACAGCACAGAGAGATGCAGCAGGGTACAATCCGCATCTTCATATGCAGCATCTTTGGAACTCACTGATCATTGCAGGCTACTCGGCAAGACCAGAAGACCTTGCACACAAACATGGGACAAGATTGGTACTCCAGCCTCTTTTTCAACATTTCTCCTGAAAGAGTTGAATTTTCAACTTAGTTGGGCCAATCTTGCTACAGTAAAGCATAGATTTAGAGATCTGAAACTATTCAAGGTTTGGGTTTGCCTATTGTAATGAACAGTTGCTTGTTTCCCATCACAACTGTCACAGGGGCCATACGTGGTGATGAAAGGGTGTCTTTTTCCTTGAGGAAGAAGTTTACTGTGCCAGTGACATTTTCACATTTTCATTCAGTTACCGTGCCTTCTGCAGGACAATAACTTATTGAATAATAATGAATTTCTCTAATATGATTGTTTCTCTGGGCTAAAAATTACTTTAAACCAGATTAGAGAGGCTTGACACTGAGTTTCAGAATCATTCTTCATATCACCCAAAGATCAATTATGTAACACGTTTTCCTCACTGACATTTCAATGTCAAATTGTGTCACACAATCTGATTTTGCTGTACAGTTTACTGAACTTTCAAAATACTGCTGGCAGAATTCTTGCATAAAACCTGAGACCCTAACTGGGAAAGGTCCCACTTTATCTGTTTTATCAATGCAGATTTAGATTGCTACACAGTCTTTGCTTCACTGTAAGAATGACCTCCCACAGATGCTGCTTATCTTTCTGAAGAAGAAACCCTATGTGCCTCCATGAGATGTCAGTAAAAGAAACTATTTTCGGAGGTGCCTTGCGAAGAAGCCGAAGCGATCTTTGGCTTAAGTCCATTTTATCCAGCTAATAACGGTAACAAGAACCCTAAAACTCTCCCTCGAGATACGTCTTTCTTTTGAAGAGAAAGACTGATTTGTCAGCAGATGTGCAGTCTCTGGCTGTGCAGTGCTTACGCGACAGATGACTCCACAGAGATTTGGAAAGCAGCTGTTTCCCACTACAACATTTTGTACTTGGCTCGAGGCTTGTGACATGCTAGAAATTGAAGAGCTACATCAAAGTTTTCCCCCTATGACTGGTAAGAAAAAGCAGCATTTAGAGCACTTTTTCTATCTCAAAACCCAACAGTTTTCTGATGAGGAAAATGAAGTATATATAGGCCATTCTGAAATGTGTGACCATCTCTGGGATCTAATTGGTCCTGATTTCCTCCTGGTTTTGTAGCAACCAGGAGGGAAAGTGCTGTCTGCAGGATATCACAGGGTGGGGAGCTTATCCTGTTGCCTTAAAAAGATGGAGCTCTTTTCCAGTTGGAGGAATCTGTCAAACTTCTAGGCAAAATCACAGAATGGCTTGGATTGGCCTAGGAGTTTTGAATGTCTGTATCCATCTGAATTTTGGAATACATGCTTTTAATCTGACAAACTACAGGTTCAATGATCAGAGGAAAAACAGGACCATTTGAATCTACTGATAATTTTTAAAGTTTTGGAATGGTACTAGAGCTTCAGTTCATTTATTTGTCATAAAGCTGTCAGGATTTTAAAGATTATATACACACCTTGACTAATTCTTCCTGGAGCACAGAGGTATCACTGCCCTTAATCTAGAATTTCATTCATCTGCTGAATCTCAAACAAATTTTGCCCCACCTGGTAAGTTCTCTCTTGTTCCTTCCAAGGTGTGCTGTTTTTATTGGTTTTGAAGCAAAAGCAAAAGCTACTTGGGCACGTAAGGAGC